AGAAACCCGCTGCAGTGTTGTCCATACGCACCAGGATTGAGCGGTGGGAGAGCCTCAGAAGGAATGCTTCGCAGGCCCTCCTCACCGCCCGCAATTCCTGGACGTTGATGTGCAGGGTCCGTTTGGAAAGGGACCAGAGGCCCTGAGTTCTGTGGCACCCAAGGTGTGCTCCCCATCCCAGGTCAGACGCATCGGTGACCAGCGTCAGTAGGAATGCTTCGCAGGCCCTCCTCACCGCCCGCAATTCCCGGACGTTGATGTGCAGGGTCCGTTCGGAAAGGGACCAGGGGCCCTGAGTTCTGTGGCACCCAAGCTGTGCTCCCCATCCCAAGTCGGACGCATCGGTGACCAGCATCAGTGAGGGGGGAGGGGCGTTGAAGGGAACCCCGCTGCGCACCACGGTTTCCTGGGTCCACCAGAGTAGGGAGTCCAGAATGTCCGGGGGCACTGTAACTATGGAGTCCCATAGACCCTTGGATTGGCAGAAGACCTTCGCCTACCACGCCTGCAGAGGTCTCATTCTCATCCTGGCATGGCGCACCGTGTATGTGAATGCTGCCATATGGCCCAGGAGCCTGGAGCAGACCTGAGGTGTCGTGATGGGAGACTGTTTTAGCCCTGAGATCAGCTCCACTATGGAGAGAAACCTGCTGTGGGGCAGGAACGCTCTTGCCACCTTCGCATCGAGGAGGGCTCCCACAAATTCTATCCTCTGGGAGGGAATCAGGGATGACTTCTCGACATTTATCATTAGCCCTAACCTTAAGAAGAGAGCTCTTATGAGTGTTACGTGAGCTTCTACCTGCTTGTACGAGTGATCTCGGATCAGCCAATCATCGAGGTACGGGAACACATGTACCCCTCGATTGCGCAGAAAGGCGGCAACCACAGCCATACATTTTGTAAATACCCTTGGTGCTGTACATAACCCAAAGGGGAGTACTGTAAACTGAAAGTGGCAACGGCCCACCAGAAACCGGAGGAACCTCCTGTGACTTGGCCTGATTGCCACATGGAAGTAGGCATCCTCTAGGTCGAGAGTCGAGTACCAGTCGCCCAGTTGTAGTACTGGGATGACCGAGGCCAAAGTCACCATTCTGAACTTGTGATTTACAACCGCCTTGTTTAAGTATCACAGGTCCAGGATAGGACGAACTCCCCCTTTTGGTTTCGGAACAACAAAGTAACGGGTGTAAAACCCCCTACCCCGCAGATGCGGAGGGACCCCCTCTATTGCTCCTTTTTCGATAGAGAGAGAGAGATGCTCCAACGACCGTCACGGCAGTAAGAAGGAACTGAGGTGGGGCAGCGCCGGCAGGGGTACTTATGCCCCACCATGGCGGCGCCACTCGAAGGGGCGCCCCGCCGGCGCTACGGGTACCGCTAGGGAAAACGCTCCGGAAGACGTGGTGCACGCGGCGCGCACACCTACTTCGAATGGACATGAGCAACCACTCGAAGAAGAACAGAGTGCATTCAACAAGCTTGCTTTGGGTGTACAAGTTCTAGAGTGATGTTGTCCTTCCGTCAGTGGCTCCAGGGGCCGTCTTCACCCATACACAGAATATACAGCTGTGTAGGGCACCTGAAAATTGGGGGCACCCTTGGTTCTTACTGGCCACCCGCCTCTTCATATTCCTCTTCTGTGGCTCTCCTTTCTCCTGAGAGGATCTAGTTAACTTACAAGTGAAAAAGCCTGACAGAGCTATTAGCCCAACACTGAACTTAGGAAAGAGCCATTCCAGTGGTAATGAAGCCATTTAACAGGCATTTGTCAACCCTGGGTATATACTGACAGTTTCTGAATTTACTGTGCCAGTCTACAGAAGCTGAGTTTAAATTTTACCTTAAAACTATTTCATCAGTGTGTTGCTGAAGATTATAAAAGCATACCTCTAAAAAAAATTATCTCCCCTCCCCAGGGTGTCATTGGGCATAGAGGCACCAATTTAATAGTACTGCGTAGGGCCCCATAAATAAGGACAGCCCTGAATAGCTCTCAACCTTTCTGGACTCAGGACTGGGGATGTAATAGTGTTGCTGGTTAAACAATTAACTGATAAGCAGATGCCGATCAGTTAATGCTACCAGCTATATGCAACCCCCTCCACCTCCATGGTTCTGCATTGAAAGTATTTTGGGAGCCAGCAGGCAGGCACACTGGCTCAGTCCTGGCTGGTGCATGGTCCCAGAGGCTACCCCTGCTGTGGCTCTGCAGCCAGAGCGGGGGTAGCTTCAGGGACCTGGCAGGAGCTGGGATTTAGCCAGTGTGCCTACCTGCTGGCTCTCAAGCGTCTTTAAATGTAGAGCCGCTTATCGGTTAATCGTGTAACCAACACAATTTTTGTTGGCTACATGATTACCAAGTTACACGCTTCCTCGCATCCCGACTCAGGACCCATTTGTCAATGTTTATAGCCTGGGGTGGAGGCCCTGAAGTGATTTCAGTCAGATCCTGGCCCCTGGAGGGTGGGGAGAGATTAGGCCCTGCCTAGCACAGTACTCAGCCAACAGTGGAAGTTCCTGCAGCTCCTATGCTATGGGGCTGACTGGGCTGGGCTTGGCTCCCCATTCTGGGTGATGCAACTTCTGGGGTTTGGCCCTGCTGTGTTGGCTGGAACAAACACACGGGAGTGGAGTTATGACCTGGCTTCTGGGGTGGCAGTGCTGCTCACTCAAATTTGGCCCACCCAGCTGCACTAAATTGGGATAGCCCTTGGACCCCAGAGGGGCAGGGAGGTGAGCCCAGCCAGCCTTTGGGACAGGAGCCACAAGGAGCTGCTGGGTGACTCTTTGAAACCTTCTGGTGACCCACTGTTGGGTCCAGAGCCATGGGCAGAGAAACCCTGATCCAGTGGTTGACCCCACAGAGAGGCTATGAGACTGGTTACTGTTTCCAGAGGTGGGAATTCTATAGAAGCCAGGAATAAAAAGAAGCCTGTGGCTTGGGAGTGGACGGACCAAGCTTTTAGTCTCACCCCCTATTTGTTGCATTTGATTTAACTGTGATGTTGGTTTATTGCAGGGGCATACACAAAACACTCTCTCTCTCTCTCTCTCTCTCTCTCTCTTTCTCTCTCTCTTTTAGTACACATTACAGGGGTCAGAGTTACTCCTTGTCCCTTCTCCCTGCCTCCCCCCCACACCATACAGAGAATATTACAGAGGTGTTGTTTACTCCTGGCGGCACAGACAGGTTATTATGTGGGTGAGACATTACTCACCTCTTCCCCCCTCTTCTTGTTATAGGGATGAGGGCTCTTCCATACTACGCCCCACACAGAATGTCTGGGGACATTGTGGCCATATCATATTCAGCAATTAGCTTCTGACATAAAGGTTCAAGCGCTGATTATTTCAGCACCTGCCACAGTGTTTCCTTAACGGAAGGGTATAAATCATAAGAGAATCAAAGATTATGCTTGCAAATAATCATAGATACTTGCCTTCCTTTTGGTGTCAGTACTCAGGGTAAACAACAGAGACCAATAAAAACTAATCTCAGCCATGTAGTACCAATACTGGGATGGTAGCAAGGACTGTAAAGAAAGAAAATATTTCTTTTTTTTCCCCTCTAGTCATTTCAATGCATTGCCACAGATGAGTACAAAATACCATGGGTTTATTTATACTGTGTTTGCCCTTCCTCTCAATCTGCATGTGAAAACAGAAATAATGTTCTGACCTTTATTAAGGGGAAAAAAATATTCTGAAAGCCAAATCTTTCATACTTTACTCAGGCAAAACTCCCAGTTATTTAGCGGCTCCACCTCCAGTTTATAGCATGCTTTCCCTGGCAGTTCGCTGCTCTGTATGCATAGCGCACGTGCATTTATGTGCAAACCAGTGAAAATAAATCAAGCCCATCATTGTTATTTACAAATTGAAATGTTAACATTTCCACATGTCTGATAACTGACACAGAAGCAACTTATTTATCTGATAAGCCCATGCATCTATCCAAACGGAAAGGGCTATTTCCCTCACTGCAGAAAACAGCAAAAATACCCTGCTGATCATTGCAACAGTTTGCAAGAGCTCACCTGAAACGGGTAGCCAGCCCACACTTGCCATATATCATAAAACCAAGGTTTCTGTGAAAGACAGAACCATGCAAAGAATGAGAAGTAGAGCAGTTAGTCAATCTTAGCTCAGAAATATTTAAAAAACGGCTCTGGATGAAACAGGCTTATCAGTTATTTCCTCATACTGCATTTTCTCTACCAACTGTACCTTAAAGCATGTCCCAGTTTTAATAGGCCAGTCCCAGTTCTTCATATGATATCCCAAATGTCTTGGGAGATTTTTGGGGCATCTGAAATGTTTCAGTTTTCCATTTTATCATTCAAGACTTTGGATTTCTTTTATACATACAGTTTGTTCAAGATGCCTTGTTACAGTGATTAGAATTTGCATAGTCTTTACCAGGCACAAACTTTCCAGCGGAATGAGCAGTCAGCAAGATGTACTGTGCTTGTAGCACAGAAAAAAGCCAAACAGGCACCCACACTATCAAAGTTATTCTTTTGCTCAAAATAAATGTGAATTGCACGTGTTCAGGGTTTCATGGGAAACCTATTCAGAACATTAATTTACAGGAGAAAATCCGCTATTCCAAGAACACCACCCATGCTGATGTTGCCTATTGACAACAGCAATCTCAGTGACCATTTTTTAAAAAAGTGGCTTTTTGAGTTTTATAGGAATCTGATCGTAAAAAATGTGGCATCAAAAGTCTCCTGGACTTTAATTTTAAAAATCTGGCCACATTACATGGCATCAACGAGGTGCATTGTAAAATCATCACTGACCTCCACCCCTGGAGATGAAAGAACACAACATTGCCTAACAAATACTTTCTGCAGTTCTTCCTTAAAATGCTGGTTAGAGTAAAATTACATTTTATTGAGAAAACGTAGTACAGGTTGAAGCGTAGTCTAGTCTGGCATCCTTGGGACCTGAACAATGCTGAACCAGAGAATTTGCTGGATCACGGGAGGTCAATATTTTCTAGCATCATTACTAGCATCATTGCTTACTGGGCTTTTAGAAGACATTTAGAGGTAAATTAGAGCTATATAACAGCACCAAACAATGAGAGCTAGGACTGGTGGCTGTAAACAGACTTTATGGGACCGTAAAAAACTTGGCCACAGCCATAAGTGGACTTCCAGCTAACTAAAATCATACTGGACCACAGATGTTGCTGGATCAGAGAGTGTCAGACTAGGGAGGTTCAACCTGTAGTAAGTTTAAAAGTAAAAAAAATCAAGAGTGAAAAGAGTAGGCTTGTAATATAGATTATTATACTTGATAAAAACAGCATTATGGTCTAAATCCAAAGCCCAACAAAGTCAATGGTTAACCTTCCACTGACTACAAAGGCCTTGGGAATATGTCCTTATTTCGTTAAAAAGAGTGATAAGAATTAAAACTCTTCCCTAAATTAACTTACGTCATATAGAAATATCAATCCAGCAATGGATGATGTGAGATAAAATGAAAATCGCCAGCTGCAACACAAAAAACAAAAATCAGAACCATTATTGCTCCTTCAGAGACATTATCCAGAAATGAAATAGTGGCAGCCAATCAGTGTGTCTGGAGGCTGCCCAAGGAGTGAACCATAACATATGCACCTTTATCTCTCCCTGCAATCTCCTAGCTGTGTCTATCAGTCACCATATGATTATCTCTCAGTTGTCATTATGCAAATATTTCTCTTTGCGCTAGCTAATAGTTATTATTAACAAGGATATGGGGCTTTACATAACCACGATATGGCGAAGGAGTCTGCACATTTCTCTGTTATGATTAAGTAACTCCTCTCTTCTAACTGGCTTTACAGAATGTCTTTCACAATGGCAAAATGTTGATGAAATGAACATCCATAGCAACTGGCAATTCAATTTGAAGTGACATATATTTGTTATAGCTGAGGCTGGTACCACAGCCTTATGTTAAATTTGCCCAACACTTCCCTTTGCATAGTCTCTCTACACTACTACCAGATAGTCACGTTTCAATAAGAACTTTTTCTTGTTGGGGGTAACTGGCCCCTTTTCTGGGACTCAGAGCTCAATCTTCTTGCAGCTGCCTTCTGAAGACCAAAATGGGGATAACTCACTGTCCTGAGTGTCTAATTAAACAATTAGGAAATGAACATCTGAGCCTAGTGTAAAAGTTACCTCAGCAAAGGTAGATACGCTCATGGAGAAGGTGCTCCTAGAGAGAAGTCTTCCACAGAGGAGATGTGTGTTTTCAGGGACAGAAAGCTGGTCAGGGGAGTTCACAGGAGAAAGGACCTACAAGGTATGCCCCTAGAGAGAGGACATCCCTAAGGGAGAGCTACAGTTAGCAGGCCATAAGGAAGGTCTGGTCCCAGGAAAGGGATCTCGAAACAGTGGTAGGAAGGCCAGTCTGTCAGAAATCACAGGCTGTCCCTGAAAAAAGCTGTGGCTGGCCAGTCTCCACAGATCTCTGGCTCCGGGGAAAGATTCTTCACAGATGGCGGCAAGAGACCGGACTCCAGGAACAGAACGAGAGAACCCTGATGGTTAAAGGACCTGGACAGAGGAAAGCAATGGACTCAGATGGGATAAAAACTAAGACTGACTCTGTCTCCCAGCTAAAATACTGGGGATGAAGATTTTACTGGCCTTGTCTGTTAATACATGAGATCCTCCAAAGGGGACATTCTTTAGTACCTGAAAGTCTGACTAAACTTCTTTATACCACAAATGAGGGGAAATCTTTCCTAACCCCACAGGGGTGCTCTGGGGTAGCTTGAACCCTAACACCCTCGTAATTCTATGTCTGCAAGGTGGTGAGGCCCACTAACTACTACGAAAATCTATGTGGCATTCAGAGCACCAATAACTAACTTGTTTTAGTTCAAAATCAAACTAACTTCTATTCATCGCTTAACATAAAAGGTAGAAAACAGCAGAACTGTCCAAAGTGAGCAAGTTTATGTCTCATTGCCTGATGTTGGTTGACCCTTGGGTCAGGTGGGTTAACATTTTGATGAGCCTGATTTTTGGTTTTGAGTGACAATCACATGGCATTTGGTGGCCATTAAACAGCTTTCATCCAAACCAATGTACACATTAACTGAAATCTCTGAACAAAGCTTGAAAGTCAACTGAAACAGTACTGCTCCTTACAGATCTAGTAAAGAGATGTTACAAATTCCAGTCAGTCAAGCACTGTTGTAATAACAAGAATTGGGCAGAGGTGTTCCATGCCTATTTCTTAAGATGATGGAAGTGCAATACATTATGGTAATTTTCTTTGCTGACTCAATCCCCAACTTGCCCCAAAATAACTCTGGATGGCCAAGGCGTGGCATTAGCCAGCATGAAAATGTTCCTTGATTTCAAGTGTCAAGAGTGGGAGTAAAGATAGACACGAGACCCAAAATTTGGTTAATAAACAAAGTGTTTCACAATGCTGTGAAGAAACAGTGCTGCAGAATGATCACGCAGATTTGACATGCCGAAGAGGATGAGACAAGATAAACTCCTACACTAGAATTCATGCAGACATACACAGAGAAGATGACTATGGTCTTCTCCTAATACTAATTCACTTACATTAGCACAAGATGAGAGACCTGTGTGAACAAAGGCAGCTTGACCTTGATCTGCACTGCCCTGGCTCAAATCCAGTGTGAAGCCATTGAGGGGTGAAGCCAAAGAGCCAGCATATGCAGTTTGCAGGAGTTCATAACAAGGGTTGGTTTTTTCCCCTAGTTTTCAGCCCATGGCAGGTCAGATCATGCAAGGTGCTGGTAACTAATTCTGTGAAGTGCTTAACTGTAAATATGTGGATAGTCCTGTTGACTTTGATAGCCTTATTTCTGTGCTTAAATGCTTTAGAATCAGAAAAATTATATAATTAGTAGCCCAATGTCTGTGAGTCTGTAATGCTGATGTACACGGCCACGCCCCCTGTCCGTGTACATCAGCGCCCCACCCCCCCTTCCCCTCCCGCCGTGGTGCTGAGTGCTGCGCCCCTCAGCTGGGCCCCAGAAGGGAAGGGGGGGTGACGTACATGGCCCCACACCCGACTGTGTATGTCGGCGCCCCGCCCCCCTTTCCCT